GATCGATGTTAGACTTTTATATTTTATTCTCTTGCAAAAATAGAAAGAACCTTTAAAAAAAAAAAAAAAAGCAAAAGAAAGAAACTTTCTTTGGTAATATGAGAAATGTTATAATTGTGAAAAGGAAATTGATTTTTGTATATATTCTTTCGTTTTATTTTTTTTTATAATTTAATATATCATTTAAATTATTAATTTTTTTAATTTATATAAAATTCGTGATATTAAATGCATCAACTAATTTAATGATATATAAAAATTATATAAAAAATAAAAAAAATATCTTTATAATATTACGCTTGTGAAAATTAATACATGAGTTTTAATATAAAGGTCGATCCAATTCTAACATCAATTGATAATAAATAAGATAAATTTTTTTAACTGGAATTACATATATTTTTTTATTAAATCTATGATATAAGATTTTTTTCATTCTATACGTTCCTTGTATGTAAATTTAATATAAATAGTAAATTTTATTATATATGAATAATAAATCTTGTCACACGATTTAATACATTTCTTTACATATCAACTTGATATGAATTTAGATCCTCTTAAATGAGTTGATAATTGACTTCACAAAACAAAACATAAACTCTAATGCTAATTGAAAATTATATAATTTGATTCTCTTTAATAACATCAGGTGGAAGTGAAGAAAGAGTTCTTCAATAACAATTCAAACAAGTGATTAGGCGGCCTATGTGCCCAGTAAATATAAACAACAAGCATCCTTTCTAAGTTTTACTCGAAGAAGATTTGGGCAGTCATTATATTTTATTTTCTATAAAATTAAAGGACCAGAAAGCATTTACATATACACTTGGGCTTTAGACTAGTGATATCAAATCACATTTAAGTGTATTTTTTTTTTAATAACGGTTTAAATTCGACTCATTATAAAATTATTTAAAAAAAAAAAATCATTTACACATGAGAACGTCTTAATAACTTAGGGGTCATCATTCTCTTATTAAGAACTTTTCATGTAAATTTATAAGTGTGAAATTAGAGTTAAAAGAAAAAAAAAAAAAGCCCCCTTTACATACATTCACAAAAAGACGAGGATATCCAATTATTTTCCTCTAATGAATGAGAGGGGAGGAAATGTGATGGAGAAGATTGGACTGATGCATATAATATTCGCTTTTCAGGAACAGCACGACAAACTTTTTTTGTGAGTGAACGACTTGCAATTTTCATCTAATTGAAAACTTTTGGATTTGTTGGCAACTTGTATGTAACATTCCAAAAAATGGTCCCATTATTCTTTGTAATTTTTTAA